AATTGAAGATGAACAAGTAAAAATCCTAGGAACAGAAAAGAGATGGTTTGAAAGGGGAGTAAAGGAAGCGATTTTTGTTAAAAAGGAGGTATCAGATTTAACCTGTCTCCTATTTACAATAACTTGTTGACCACCAAGGGACATAGACATGCTGATCAGGCCAAATGAAAGTAGCTATTCAGCCCTAGCCCAAACAATAGGCCTAATCAAGACCCAACGATAGGGAATTTAGAAATCAATGGGCCTCTTCACCATAGGGGCGTGACTAACCATCCCCACCCAGTCCTCAAATAGGGCCACGCTCAGCTTTTTAGCGCAGAGCAATTTCCCGGAGTCTTTACGGAGACTTCAGGGTTGTCTACCGCTGACGAAGCTTCTGTGAGAGAAGCGAAACGTCCTTTTTTGTTTTTTTTGTTTTTGTTTTTTGTTTTTTACCCACAGGTACAGATGACGACTGACAGAACCCTTTCTACGATGAATCAACAATAATGTTGAGATGTTGCAAGCATTTTCTCCTTACATTATCACAGTAACTTGAACAACAGTTCAACAAACTACTATCCTTGGCTTTTGATTTCAAAACTAGTAATCCATTAATCGTGTACTGTACTGTATATGTAATAATACAAGGAGGTGATTAAACATTTATAGGGTTTCACAGTCATGATGGCCATCCAAGGGAAACTCTGACAATGTCAGAACAATGTGGCCCGCGACAAAAATGAGTTTGACGCTCCTGCTCTGTGTTGTCTCTAAGTGTGATGGTGAGCGTCTGTTCAACAGTCCAGGGTCTCCGTTTTCGTATTTTATGCTTCATAATGCGACACACATTTTCAACGGCAGACAGGTCTGGACTGCAGGCAGGCCAGTCTAGTCCTCGCATTCTTTTACGACAAAGCCAGGCTGTTTTAACACATGCAGAATGTGGTTTGGCGTCCATAAAAAAGACGCTGCTTGAATGGCAGCATATGTTTCTCCAAAACCTGGATGTACCTTTCGGCGTGAGTGGTGCCTTCACAGATGTGTAAGTTACCCATGCCATGGACACTAACACAGCTCCATAACATCACAGATGCTGGCTTTTGAACTTTGCCTTCCTCAACAGTCGGCTAGTTCCTAATAAATGACTTTTGCTTTGCATAGTAGACTTTTAAGTTGCACTTGGATGTCATGCCGAACCGCATTTACTGACATTGTTTTTCTGAAGTGTCCTTAAACCCATGTGATGATATCCTTTACACAGTGATGTGTTTTTTTTATGCAATATCGGCCTGAGGGATTGAAGGTCACGGGCATTCAATGTTGCTTTTCGGCCTTGCTGCTTGCATGCAATGATTTCTTCAGATTCTCGGAACCTTTTGACGATATTTTGGATGATGAAATCTCTAAATTCCTTGCAGTCGTTTGTTGAGGAACAGTGTCCCGAAACTGTTCAACTGTTTCCTTACGCGGTTGTTCACAAAGAGACGAACCCCGGCTCAACTTTGCCTGTGACTGACTACCCAAATCAGGGACCATGCTTTTATAGCCGAGCATGGCACCCGCTTGTTCCCAATTAGCCCGTTGACCTGTGGGATGTACCAAACAGGTGTTTGATGAGCATTCCTCAACTTTCTCTGTCTTTTTTACCACCTATGCCACCTTCTTTGGAATGTGTTGCGGCGATAAAATTCAAAGTTAATGATGATTTACGAAAAATAATAACGTTTATCAGTTTGAAGTATCTTGTCTTTGTCGTGTATTCAATTAAATATAAGTTGAACATGATTTGCACATCATTGTATTCTCTCTCTCTCTCTCTGTATGGACATTGTTTTTCCGTCAAAATTAATATTTTGCGCCTTATGAGTACATATTGAAGAGCAAAACGAAGACTGTGTGTGTATTTATATTTTTTAAAAGCCCCCCCCTTATGTTGAACTGTTTGTTTGGTCTCTATCAAATTAAGCATTGCTGTATGTTCTCGCTGCCTCAGGCATGTGTCAGTTCCCCTGCGCTTGCTGTGGAATTACTGCCCCAAGTTACAGGAGCTCAGTGGAAGTCTGGGAAATCTGAGTCAACTAATTATGGATGATCCCCAAATTAAAATGAATCAGCCACGCTCTGCTTTAATTTTCTGCATTCTGGAACAAGGTACCCTTGCCCTCTGTCTGCAGCTTTAAATTGCAATTCACCTTTCACCCTGAAGATGGTCATACATTTTTTTTTCATTAGTAAGTGAGAGCCAATGGTACATGAGTTGTTCTCACTGCGTTTATAGACCTCGGCGATGAAGTTCCAAATGATCTGATGGATAGCGGCTATGCAGAGAGCAGCCACGTGGAAGAGGAACACTGGGAGACTGATTGATAGTGTCCACTCAGTTTGGGAGTAAAACTTTGGTTTCATGATGTTAACGGATTTCCATTTCAGATAAGGGAGACCGTGTGTTGAAAAGGAAGTGCAACAATAAAAAAGAAAATAAAAACGAGCATGTGTTTGAGTAACTTGATTTGATTTTATTCAACAGTGTATGGTACATGTCAATCCAGCACAGTTTAAGGAAGCAAAAATGATCTGAAGGGAAACGGTAACCACTGGAGTGTAAACGGCACAGTACATCACTTTACATAAAAATACAAGTAGCACTTTGATATAGACAACAGCTTCACAGAAGAGAGGAAGCAACCATGTTTGTCGCAACATGTTAGTTACCCATGTGACGTAACCCGTGGCATACATGTAAAAAATAAAAAGTACTTGAGAAACTGACTCTAAACAGATATTTGGCAGCACTTAAACTATATTCAACACCGTTTCGGGAGTCGAGAACACATTTCGTAATACAATAACACAACATAGCAAAAATGGCACAATGTCGATGGTGAATACACCGAACTGTGATATCTTGGCATTTGCAACATGACATTTATATCATGTTGAAAATACGATAGGAAAATATGTTTCAAATATCCTTGATTTTGTGAAGACTCCTCCTTTGGACTGATCCTTCAGTGGGGTCACATTTGGAAGAAGGTGCACAAAATCAAATCGGAAAAGTAATTTGCAAATAAATATGATAACAGGACTTTTGTGCAAATCACGAATGCTCAATAGCTGCACATACTGTAAACACCACACTTGGATGTGACTTCGATGGGAAGTCCTTTTTTTTTCCACTAGCAGAGTTGGTATTTGTACAATTCATAGGCTTGATAACATCACAAGGAATAGGAGCGAGTTGAATGTAGAGGAGTAATTAACTGCAACCAACAGCACATTTTTGATACCTGACGTGAATTTTGATTCTCAGGTTCCCACAATCTTAATGACTGCCACAACGAACATATTTTTCTGCATCTTTCAACAATTCATGACATCGACACCTTTTATGTTCTTCATATAGAGGCGCCTTTGCTTTAAGACACAATACTATAAAATTCCTAATAGAAAAGCTCACCCTTGGTTACCGTTTTAGAAACACTTGAGTGTTTAGTTCATTGTAACTACAGATACAACAACCAAGTATTTGATTCAATGTATGACTTTTCCCCAAATTAAATGTGAAAGAGGTAAAGATTTATTTGGTGTCAAAGCTTAGGACACATAAAAACCTGGCAGGCATGTACATTTTTGGTACTTACCACATCTGATTTCAGATTACTGGCTGCCATCTTTTTTTGGGGGGGGGGGTGTGATTCTTGAAATCCAAAAATTCCTACATGAGTCAAGTTTGGGCCTTTTCAATTCAATTTCAATAATTTCATATACACCACAACACCCTATATTCCTTCAATAATACAATGTGTACTACTTGTGTGTTAAGCATATTGTTGATGTGGTTCAGGGTATTCTGTTCAATCCACTGCTGTCAATTTTATATAGTGCCAGGGCCGTGAAAGTCAGTATCTCAGACGTTAGCCTATGTCCTAATGATCATCCTTTCTTATTATCGCCTTGCAGTTGAGAGATGCAAAAGTAAAACAACACCCATTCATATTTGAAACTAGTGCGCTTTACAAATGATCATTGGCACTTGTCTATTGCTTTAACCCTTGAGACAAAAAAAATATTTGACATATACTACATAGAGAACCCTATAATTGGCAACATGGCTGTTAAGTTCTGTTAAAAAAAAAGTCAAAAGTAACACTGGTTTTGTTGACGTTTTGAAATAAACCCATCAAAAGTGTTTTATTTAGCAACCAACGCGCTCAGCGGCTCACATTTGCCTGCCTCCTCCAGAATGATATTGGAATGTGCTCTACGATGTACCTTGAAAATGACCAAAGAAGAATATTTTCAGCCAGGTTGCATGTTGCCTCGAGGTTTCTGTCGTTGTGGCCAGAGATGTGCAGTTTGCTGCGGACAGGGCAAATTAGTACTAGATCCCAGCTTATTATTATTATTGTAAATACAATTCAAAGTTCAAGTCAGGCACCTTCTCCTTATTGTAAAATATTATTCTGTCCTCTTTAAGTCTTTACAACAAACACCTCTCAGCAGCTTCAATTCAAATCTATTCAACAGAACATTAAAATGAAGTAAAAAAAATTTAAAATTACGACATAATTAAAAGGAATGTATCGAAAATGTTATCTTTCTACTGCAACCTATTCTCCAACCTAAAGACTGTTTTTTAAATTTTTTTTCCCCCCCGAGTTCACATTGTTCCATGGAGTGTGCTTCCAAAATTAGATGATCACTTTTGGGAAATGTGTGGATGGTATCAACACAGGCAGCCCTTCAAAATAATAACGATAACAATAAAACGATAAAAGAGACAAAAAAAAAAGAACTTTTTCAGTCCCATCAATGTGACACAACTGGACACATTAACTCCATATTAAAGTGGTGTCCGAAAAGCAAGTGTTCACTTGTAGGTGAGAAACACACAGAGGCGCCATTGTGACATCTGTCATTCATCGCGCATCAAATCCAAGACTGCGGATCATGAATATGTGACTTGTGGCAGAAAGAAGACAAGAAATGGTCACAACCCTGCATCCATTTTTCTCTTTTTTTGGGGGGAAGGCATAATCCACTTCAACGCTTAATCACCACTTGCTCGTATGCTCCAGCACCAACCCTGAAATGTGATAAGAGTCACAAAATAAAACATATTAGGTAAGACCAAGTAGAATCTTGTTACTTAGAAGCATGCCTTGCCCATGCACCCCCCCCAACATACTCCATGACAGCCCTGTTTTTTTTATTTTTTTATGTGCAGCAACGCTTAAAAAGCTGCTTAGTTGGAAGAAAGTTATGATCGTGCATGCCCCAAATCCTCACATTTTAATTCAAACTTAAAATAAATTAACTCTGATTGAAGTTGATTCCCCTCAAGCTTGGCTTACTCTTTTTTAACTTTTTCCAGGGAAATTGAGGAAAATTGAGCAATTTTCCTCAATTTCCCTGGTGTCAATTGGTGGGAAGAGTTTCTCGCGTCGCACCTGCGGGTGAACATCATCAGGGTATTTTGATGCGGCAGACATGGGAGAAAGATGGCGAGAAAGAGTCGATTGGTAGTTGCTGTTGCTTGCTCGTTTATTCGTTGTCGTGTTTTTTTTTTTTTTTTTTGAGGCATGGGACACACTTTTGCGGCGTGTTAACTATCGTAGCTCACGTGTACCGTTTTAAAATGCTTCTCTGAGGCCTTCAGATTCCCATTGTTTGCCATTACCCTCAGTGAATTGTACACTTACTTTTTAACACAGCCACCTGCCTGGCATCCCGTCCTGCTAATAGAAACGTGTCGCAGGCTATGACTCAAATCTTCGTTGACAGAAATGTTGAAATTTAATATTTATTCTACACATTTTTACAGCATTGGAAAACGTTAAGAATGTTTGTATCATGTTTGTCTTCCTACAGAAACCATATTAAAACAAAAAATATATTTCCCTCCCCTTGCTTTTTCCATTTTCAAACATTTTTGAAAAAGCTCCAAGTACCCTCTACAGTGCCGCTAAAGAGCCGCAGGTTGCCGACCCCCGGAGTAGACAAAGCTGTTCAAAGGACTGGAGCGTGCTACACTCCATGTACAGTATTTTTCAGATTATTTAGGGTATTAAAACAAAAACAAACACGGACGGTAATGCGTCGCGTGTTTTTTGTCGCATAGCGTGCATCATGCAGACTGGTCTGCAAAATGGCACCTGTCGAGTGAGTTGGCCAGGCTCTTTTTATATATGGCAATGCTCTGATGTTATTCAATCTGCTACCTGGTGGCAGCTGTGTGGCATAAGAATGCTAAATGAAACCGTTTGCCCATCAAATCTTGCTTTGTCTGTGTGCTGTCGGTGACCACTTGTGTGTCAAACGATGACAGACACGATATAAGAAAAATGGCACGATAGAAAAAGTCTTCACGATATCGGTCATCATGTTTCCCAGGTATAGTTCTAGTAATTCATTTATTTGGTCTATATTTATTACAGAAGGTCCACAAGCTGACCTTAACCCAGTGCATTGGAATTATGCGATAGCAACAATGCAATTAACAGCATGCCTAGTACCATTCGAAAACTACTGGTATTTTTAATTTGACTTTTTGTTAAATTATATATATTTTTTTAAAAAGGTAGAGGGATGAAAAAGCACAACACCGTACTTAGACCAAACTCACAGTAGCGCTATGAGCAGCCTCGCTCCCCGTCTTGGCAAACAATGAACTTAGACAAAAAAAATTATGAACTATAAAGTGACCTAGTTGATTTGAAAATTTGTGAGCTGAACTTTGAAATAGTTCGCGTAGAAACTTTCCCGACACTGCACCTGAGATTTACTGACCAATTTGGAGTGTAATATGACTTTTTCCCACAGTTAGATAGGATAGCCTGCGATTGGCTGGCAACTGGTTCAGGGTGTCCCCCGCCTACTGCCCGAAGACGGCTGCCCGCGACCCTTGTGAGGATAAAGCGGACTGGAAAATGGATGGATGGATGGATAGATAGGATAGCCTCTGTCTATCATGACCCAGAACAGGACAAGTGGCATACAAGGTTAGGCTAACCCAGAGGTGTCAAACTCAGGTCCTGGAGGGCCGCTGTCCTGCATGTTTTCGAAGTCTGCCTGTTGCAATACACCTGATTCAAATGATCAAATCATCAGTAAGCTCTGCAGAAGCCTGACATTGAACCTCTTCATTTGAATCAGGTGTGTTGCAACCTGAACCCAAACACTAAAACGGATGGAGGGGAGTAACTTAAGGTTTTATGATAGTTACAGTTTCAACGTCTTCAGAAATTCAGCTGTAGTTTTTTTGCACAAATAGAGAATAAATTTGAATTCATGAAACTTAAATGAGCAACCAAAGAATAGTTCATGGCTGACCTGGTAGGAAGATGATGGCTTCCAAGAGCTGTACTTCCTCCAGGCCCCACAAACAGACGTAAGCCCTCTTCTGAAAACAGGCAAGCCACGGCAGAAAATTCGAACTATTCAATGCTGCAAATTATTAACAAATAACCTAATTTTAAATTGCTCAAAAGAATGCCATGTACCGTATTGGCCCGAATATAAGACGGCCCTGATTATAAGACGACCCCCTCTTTTTCAAGACTCAAGTTTGAAAAAAATACTTTTTGAACACCAAATTAATTTTTATACAGAAAATAATTACAGTACATCTGAAACAAATGATTATAACAATATATTTGAGAGAAAAAGCATGTTATTTTGCCTCATTCAAATCTAAAGTGCAATCACATTCATAAATGAATGGCTTCTGGTTTTTGAAATGTAAATTACATCATAACTTCTCCTCAGCTGTTGGTTAACCTGGCCGATCGTCGACCCACTTTTCTCCAGAATTTCACTACGTTTCTCCATTTTCTGTAATCTCTTCTATTATTTTCTTCTCTTTTCCTTCTTACCGCTATTTTTTTATTTTTCTTCTTTGTGCAACCGCTATTTTTATTTTTATTCTTCGTGGCAGGGGTTAACTTTGGCCTGGGGAGTCAAGTTCAGCATTCGCTTCATTGATATCTGGCCCCATCTAGCGTCGTGAATGGGTATAATGTCTACAACCCCAATATAAGACGACCCCCACTTTTTCAGTCTTATTTCAATGCAAAAAACACCGTCTTATATTCGGGCCAATACGGTATTATTTTCCAAGTGTTTGTGGTTGTTACGTATTGATGCAAACATCTGTCCATACATACTGGGAGAGTGTAACACAAAAAACAGAAAAAGAGTGCAATATTGTGTCTGCGTATGTGCGTGTGTTACCTTCTGCACTAGAATCTAAAAGGTTGGGTGTGAAGTCTTGGCTTTGGAGGATTTTTTCCACCACGTCGTCAGCATCCACTCGAGTATCGTCCATTCTCTTTAGCTGAGACTCCATCGAGTCCTGCTTGACTGGATGCCTGAGCACAGGATATGTGGAACTCATTTTCTGCCCCTTAAACACATGAAGTGCATTTGAAGGTTGCTTCCAAAGAAATGGTTATTTTTATTCTTCCAATAAAACATTTCACCAAGCTGTCATTGTGACTTATTTCATCTGTTTGGCAGTCAATGCTATTTTTGGCATGAAACAGTGTTGCCGAGACTGCATGTCATCTTCTCAAGAAAGTAAATCACTTCCTGATATAGGCTGTCTTCAGTTTAGTACAAAGTACATTTGGGCAGCAAAGGGGGCTGTGAGGTTGTCGGTGTGCTACTGCATGATTATGACATATGATGCTATTTTAAGGCCGGTGTGCCCAACCAGCCTTCAGATTGGGGCATCACCATTTTTCGACCTGAGTCATGCTGCCCCAAATGTATGTTTGTATATTGCACGTAATCGGGAGGAATCCAACTTGACCTCCAAAATCAGAAGACCACAAAAACATCACGTTTGATCAACCATTAAACATTGCATCATCAAGAGAGCAGCCATTTTCAACATTTAGGTGAGTCGTCAATTTTTAAAATCAATCCCACACGTGCTATAGATCTTAAAATTAACACCCACACGTGGTATACTGTAGATAGAACAAACCTGGTTGTTAGGACCTTTTTGGGGGTGTGAGGATCCCACTTGACAACAGTGATATACAAACACACAGCAGAGGAGGCATGACACATGCTAGAGTCTCTCAACACAAAAGTTGTGTGTTCAATCCTCTCCCCTTGTGACCATGTCAAAGAAGATGCGAGAGTGTTCGCTCGACAAATGAAAGTCTATTTTCCATTTTCTTAGCTATTAGTATCACATTGAAATGAAGACAGTAAAATTCAATGAAACTGTTTAATGAACAGTTGCTAGTAATTGTTACTTGAGTAACTGTATTGAAATAATTTTAATTATATGCAAGTAAGATTTACTCAAGAGCTCTCGTTGTGAGGTGCTTGTGAAACTGCTCGTGCGCTGCACTCGCTCACATCATGTGTATTCCCTGGGGGCTCACCTGTTGAGACGCTCACAGGATGAGGCTCTTTGGACTGGTGAGTCCACAGAGTCGGTAGAGTTGGTGGCGGAAAGTGGATGTTCGGGCAGAGCAGGACACGTTCTGGACTCTCTGTCTCTTTCCTCACTTGGTTCTGGGATGCTGCCGATGCCAGTTGAGGTGCTTCCCACTGAATGGTTCCTACGATGACTGAAGTCCGACATGCTCGATGAGCGGGAATGGCCTGTACTGTAGCCTGAAATGGAATGGGAACGATGTTGTGATGGCGGAAGAACAATCTCCTCCACTTTGACATCATTGCTCTTCATGAGAAAGGAACCATATTTGGCTACTTCCGGGAGAGTTCCAAATGAACCCACCATATGTTACTATGCAAAACCAAACCAGCCAATCCACTTAGAATAATAAAATTGTGTGTGTGTGTGTGTGTGTGTATGTATATATATATATATATATATAATTCCCGGAATTCTATGAAAAGGAATTTCCTTCACCCGGAACAAAAACCTATGCATTAACATTTTGACTACGATATTACATGTTACCGGAATTTACGTAAGCGGAAATTCCACTACCCTAACCCGGATTGAGACGTCATGCTGCAGGAGCTTAAATACACGCAACGCCCACCCGATGCTACGGAAAGACACGACTTCTGAGACACATTTTCACTTCGCGTTTTTCGATCATCAGATTCGAAACAACGACGTGTGAGTGAGTTTTTATTGGCGTGCGTTTTACTGTAATTGTGAATGATTTTAACTTTATTCACTTAACGTCCTGTAGAACGCGGCACTAGCTTAAAAGCAGCACCCACTCGACACGACCGAAGAAAC